GTCGTATAGATGGCGCGGTTGGTTAACGATATGTTCTGCTGAACCAAAGGTTGTGAGTTCGAATCGCGTACACTCAATTTTTTTTTCTTTTTTTCCTATTTTAAGACATTTTTCCTTTCAATTTTAAGACATTTTAATTTTGTACAAGTAAACATTCTAATTATTTCAATATTTCTATCTTATTACTGTAGCTCTTCTAATTCTTTTTGTCAAACAGCTCTCAAATATCTTAGAATGTTCATGTTGTTTAAAAAAAACAAAAAAAAAACACCAAGGTGAGATTCGAACTCAGGACCTTCGGTTCCTTACAAAACCATGTTAACCGATCGTGCCATTTATATGACGTATCCTGTTAGTGGTACTGTAGTAATTAATGACTATTGGTCAATCTCTTGAAATGTGGTCAAATCATTGAAGCATCACTGGCATTAGCTCAGTGGCGTTAGCTAATCTGGGGTCTGCAGGTAGCGTTAATAATGCCAATGACATGGCGTAGTGTGTAGCTTTAACAACGCCACTGCCTAGTTCACACACAAAGGCGTACGCTACGCCAGGCTTAAGCCAGCCTTACGCCGTGTGTGTGAACATAGCCTTAATTGGCCTAAGTTTGCACTGGCATATTTACCACAGACTTAATTGACTCAAGGCTGCACTGGCATTATATACCACAGACTTAATAGGCTTGGGAAATACAAAGAAACTCAGTTTCTAACAGTCTCTGTCTATGAATAGATTATTTAAAAATTGATGGTTGAGATAATTTAATGATAATTTAACTACTATATTTATTTATTGTATTAGTCGAAGGTTTTGAAGAAGTTTCAGATCTTGTCTATGTGGAGATGAATAAGAATCGTTTTGTGTTGTCTGTTGGTTGGGATAGAAGAATAAACATGTATTCTGACTCAATGGATGACTTCCGACATGTCCAAAACCCACTACCTAAGTGGAGGGATGATTTGGTAAGCTCCAATTTCATTTAATAATATTATATTGAATTCACCAAGCATCATCTTAATGTTGTGATTCTCTTTTGTAATTTTCATAATATACTAGCACAAACGTTGCTGTTGAATGTCAGTTTAAAAGCAAGCATACTATCAAAGGAAGCTGAATGTTCGTTGGTGAATGAGATATAGATGGATGTATTTGGTGTAAACACCTAGGATAACCCATGACAGTTTAAAGAAGACTTATCTAGTGGGGTCCTTCTGGTGGCAGTACACCGGGAGACAATCCCCTACTCTTTTCTGAAGAGTGCACTGCATTCTTTAACGTGCATAGTGGCCATAATGCACACAGGACTAACAGCTTAAATGTCTCGTCTGAAAGACCTGCATTTAAGCCCTCCGGCTAAAACACCAGGAGGGCTGTATTGGCAGTTGGGATCTAGAGATCTCCACAGTTATGCACACGCAGTGGCTACTACCAGAAAAAAGAAAAAAAAAAACTGTTTCATCATAATATATTATATTAGAATTAGATTAATATTACAGTGCATAATTATTGTAGTTAATATTAATGTAATTCTTTTACTGTTAACTATTATACAGAAAAGTGGTCATAAAGAAGACATACTGTCTGTAGCAGCTTGTGCTCCTAGTCTCCTGGCAACGTCCAGCTATGATGGAGAAGTAATTGTTTGGAATCTGGTGTCTGGTCATATTTACTGCCATTTGTTATCCACTGCAGAGAGTCAGTATGATCATCAGCAGTGTGAGTTTTTAAAGTTGTTTTGCATATGATCATATTATTCACGTAAAAATACCTAGTTCTTACTTTTTGAGACTTGCGCCTGATGTGGGTCACATCGCCTGAGTACATTTGAGTGAGAACTGGCCAGCTTTGCAGGGTTGATTTGCCAGTCATGACCCTTTTGGCATGACCTGTTAAATATAAAGATAATAATTAATCAGAAAATGTTGCTATGTTAGTCAAATGATGCAGGGCATTCAACTCACTGTCTCAGGCTCTTTGGTATGGTGATTTGGGTGTACTTATGCTTGTTTACAGATGTCAAACCACCTAGTGTGGACATTCTGACATGTTCATGTCTCGTGTCTCAGTCTGGGCTTGAGTCACACCTGGCGTTGAATCTTAAGTGTGAACGTACTGTAGCCAAAAGAGTGTTTATTGCAAAATTATTCACTTCATGCAGTAATTTTAACAAACTGTTCTATATAATATTATGGTTGAATTTTTTGTTTCATATAGTGGATGGCGACAACAGTATCCGCAAGCTGGTATTTCTGTCTTCAAGAATCACAGACAAGACTTCAGCTCAACTTGTAGCTAGTGGACCCAGAGGCTGTGTTCATTTCTGGAATGTTTACAATGGTGGCATCCTCTACTCAAAATATCAAGCTGTATGTTTACATTTAAATATCTAATAAATATTATATGTTTGTGGTGTTTTTTGGATTGAATAGTAAACAATGACTTGTAAGTTTTGGTCAGTTATTTGGTTCAATGTTACTCAAACAATCTGCACGTTTAATAATTGAGAAAAATTTAGTGCTTTTGGATTTATTTCCTAAAAATCAAGGAAGATATTCTGCAACTAAAGCATCTAAACTTGATATTCCTCAGAACAAGAAGCAATGTCCGCTGAGTTTTCTTGTTACTAGTTCTGATAACAACATGTTGTTCAGTGGTGATGCTCAAGGGTTTGTGAATGCCTACAACATTGAAGGTTATTGTGAGGGGGAAAAGGAATCTGAACCACCACAAAGTAAGACATGACTTTTGTTTAAAAGCCTCCACTCAACATTGGTTAACACAGGGCTGGTTTGAGCATTTGGTTAAACATGATATTTGAGGTATATTTTTATTCAAACAACTTAACAATAAAATGCATACATTGTAGCACATGGCTGAATTGCATATGCATTGACATAAGTTAAAAATATAATATATACAGGATTATGTATAAAAGAGGCATCTACATAAGGGCCCATATCAACTGCAGGCCCACCAAGGCAGGTGCAATAGGTAACATTTGTTTTAGATCTCAATTGTTAGGGACTGCAGAATGTCTTAATAAAATATTTTATAAACGACTGATATAAAAGATACTTATGATTATCATTTAATAATAAATTTTAAAAACAATTTTAAAAGGGGTAATACATTATTCTAACATACAAAACTATTATTCTAGAAAATACATTTATGTCATTCAATATTAACCTGCCAGACAATAGACTATGATGATTATGAATGCGATTTTGAAATTTATAATGATGACTGATGGTGATAAATCCAAAGGGTGTCATGCCAGCGTCTGTTCAACCGATGTATTTTGTGTTCCCTTAATAACTAAGCCGTTTATAATTTGATGTTTTTTTATTTTAGCTCTGTCGTCTTGGAGAGCACATATTGAGAGCATTACCTGGTAAGCTTCTTTACTTTGACTGATTTCAGTTGCATTTACAAATGCCTCATGGAATTCTTACTGTTAATATTCCTGGTATACCTGTATGACAATACATTTTAGCTTGGATTTAGAGGACCTGCAGTGAAATTATGCCTGCTCATCCATCCACCTGCAGTTAGCTACTACTACACAAGCTGCTGTCTCTTATACACACCTAGATGTGTATAAGAGACAGACGCCAGGCTTAAGCCAGCCTTACGCCGTGTGTGTGAACATAGCCTTATCTGTGTAGGATTAGTATGCATCCTGTGTATTTATCCATGTAAGATAAACAAACATAGCACCTGGCCTTAACACTACTAAAGATATTTAGCAAGCATATCTGTAGAGAAATAATGAATTACACTAAAACTGGGAAAATAAGTACCACACCACATTTGAACACCAGCTAATGTTTTTCTTTTACATACTATAGGAACATCACATCCACAATGTAGGTGTGAGAGGTGAGACCCACCCATCATAAAGCATTATCACCCACTTTACTTGGATGATTTATAATACAAACACAAGAGAAAGCCAAACAATTTTATTATCTTGGCTAAATGTCAAGAGCTATATCCTACTTCTGGGAGTTCTTTCAGGGAGTTGTATGGTCACATGAGCAAACTATTTTATAACTTAAAAATTGTCTTTATCTTTTGGTTAATTTTTTAGTCCACACACAGCGGACCCCAGAACCTCACTTTTTCTGGTTGTTGTTACCAGAAAAAAGCATCCAGCGTCGCCAGTTTTGAACGGACGTGCAGGAAGTTTTGTACACATAAACTAGAGGTGATTTTCAACAAATGTTCATCGCCATTTTTTAAGTTAGACTCCAAGATGCCCCATACACCAACAAAACTAAACAGGGGTTTCAGCAAGGACTGTAC